TGGGTTCATTCGTATCTACTATCGGGATGTCGCTCCTTTCTAATTAGGAGCTCTAAAGCAACAAACACAGCAAACACCTCGAGGAATTTAGCGCACGAAATATCGTCAAAATACCAAAAATCATGCAGCATTTCATTTAGAGKTCCTCGAGATGTTAAGACACAAGTTTTCTCACTCAAAAAGACGTCTTCATCTGTTCTTGAATCTGGAAAAAATACGTTAAACATTAATTCAAGATTAAAAATCAAATCAAGTAAATACTCGTTCAAATGGGAGCGTGTGTATTCTTGGTGTGCAACCACATAACCATAAGAAATTAAACACAAAGCTTTYGCCGCCATGTTGGATGAATGAACAAGAGAAACTAATGAGGAATGCTTTGTGATCTTCAATCCAACATGGCAGTGATGTTACTTGCACGCCAGGAATTACTTCACCTTAAACATTTTAGTTTTAATTCGAATTAAAGTATTGAGACTGCCTTCTCTACTAAATCAACACTGCTGAAATATACCTTGTCTTTGGTTTAAACCGAAGGAAATAATGGTCTACGCGCATTTAAATAGTACATGGCAGATTCGCTTTGAAATTTTCGTTTTTTCTTAGCTGGAATTTACAATTTATCAGCGCACACACTATTGACATAAATATAATATATTATTTACTTAACGGAAAACGCAAGTGCAGGCAATAATTTCAAGAAAACGTGTAGAAAATACAAGTTAGAAATACGATAGTCATTACTTACCGATAAGCTGGTTGCATTTGAAACAAACTTGTCCAGCATAGAAATATCTACGTGCATTCGAATGGATTCCAGTTGTCAGTCAAACAAATATAAGCCAATMAGAGCAAGTGAAAGGAGAGAGGAGGATATGTAGTGGTTTCTGATTGGATGAGAATATTTTGAAGGCGCGGGAAAGAAGTTCTGTACAGCGGTAAATTTCCTCATGCAAATACGGCAATTTGGTGCATCAATGCACGTGTCAAAGCTAAAAAATAGGCAGTCAGGACTGCATGTGACTCAGGCCATTAAGAGATTTAGTAAACTTCGAGTTTGCTGCATTACAAAATGGCAATTCTAAATTTAATATTGCTTTTCTTGGAAGTTCTTGACCACATCACGGAGCTGGCATAGCAGTCTGAAACCATAAAACTCTTTTTGAATGGTGAACGGTGAGAGAAAGACATACAATTCATTTTCGCTCTTGGAATACACTATCTTCAGTATTCAACGTTTTTCTTAATTATTTGTATACGCTGCAAGGAACTGGAAGCATCACGTGGCGATCAACCATTACGTTGCCTATAAATACACAACAGGCGGCGATTCCCATGGGCCAGAAACCTATTGTATAAATGGTTGATCATTCCTCYCCTTGGGGCCTGTCGCGRGACGCCCTGTTTCACTRCCTACAGTRAACATATCCATCTGAAAGATTCGGAAAAGGAAGTTAATCCACGACATGCATCAGTTCTTAGAGCTTTAATTTAGCTGTAGTCAAAGACTTCAGCTTCTGTATCTGTTGACTTATAAACTCATGATAAATTCTCGAACGTTTCCTTCGATAAAATGTTTATATCATTTGAAATGATTTTTACATATKAATTACTCTTATTCGACATAATTTTGCAACAAAACCMCAAAGATTGCTAAGGTTTTCCGCATTTCTTTATCAATTTTATACGGTTTGTCATTTATCCTCTTCAATTGTTAACATTAACAGTGTTTAGATAATAATTTGCTAATCAATATTAATCCATTTGTAAGCTTTTATATCACCAAGAACGAAGTAATRWTGGAAGTTCAGAGGTCTTCAATAATAATTGCCAGTTCCGCCATTGAATCCCAGCAAATCTTTAGMAACAGCTAGTGTATCTRCCTSGTCTGTTAACCACTTACGTTAAGAATTTCAAGAGATTTTTGTCGTGGTGTTTATCCGAATACTTGTGATGTCTGCCTGATATAAGAATTGTACACCTTTTCCTGTGATGATTTGGAAAACAATAGCGACAATTGAACAGCTCGGTGAAAGCCGTCACATTACATCAAGTACATCGGTATTCGGCCACCAACCAGCACTCAGCACCCATCCCCAYCCCCCTCAAAAAATAAATCCACTGAAGAATGATTATGCAAACCCTGTATCCTTTGCTAATTCCTGAGCTGAGTTTTGATTGGCTCGCTGCTCCCTAAGGATTTTGGTGACGTCATATATTAGCATAGAACTTCACCGAATAGACTACCCCAATTAGATATTATATATATTAAGTGTCTTCATAGTACGATGGTCTAAGAGGGTAGCTAAAGGTATGCTCTAGTGGGCGGCTACCCCCTCACTCCCTGGCCTTTTGGTTAAGACTAAGTTTTATGTTCACTCGGGATAGCGTGGAAGGGCCGAAATCTCTAACCGTAACGTAAGCCGATTCGCCGCCTCAGCTTCATAGAATGTCTCGGGGGAATCGTCCCATCTTTTTGGCTTTTTTATTTTCATTATTTCTTATGTATTCCGGGGGGTGCATCTTTTGCTGAATTGAAAGTCCTGAGTTCGAATCCTGCTGCTGGAATTTCTATTTTTTTCCCACTTGTTTCTTGTTTCTTTTTCATTTGGTTCTTTTTYTTCTTCTTCTTCTTCTTCTTTTTCTTTTCTTCTTCTTGTTTTCTGTTACTACTTTGTTTTTTTTTCTCTAGAATTTTTTTTTCAACTTGAAAATATCAAGGACTWGCAAGGAACGCCTGCTACAAGTGGATGGTTACGGTTCGCAAACTGCACATATTGACRARAGGCCCCATAAGGCATTTCGTCGCAACAATGCATTGCGCGCAAGTATCGGTATAGTGTTGATGGGCCAAATTTACAGTGAGTCAAAATACGAGATACAAAAACCATCAAAACATCGAACCTTAACTTGAACAGAAAAAATGTTACAAGTTGATGTTTTTTATATCTCGTATTTTGCCTGTATTTGCCGTTCAGAATGGCTATTCATACGGTAACCGCACGCCGAGTTATGAATCCTATTCGTACGCACATTGTACTGAAATTTTAAAGTAATTATATAAGATATAGATTTTAATACTATAATTTTTGTTAGAGTCAAAGAATAATATGAATACGCTGCATACTTCGCGATTTTACCATGCACATTTAGCATTTGTTTTGCCTAAATCTTTCACTTTTCCACCTACCAACAAGGCAGTAATTGCAAGGTTCTGCAGAAAAGTSAGGGCATGGACAAAATTTCACATTAGATCAAAAATTATTATAAGTGAGTGTCTGTAACGTACAAGGKGRCACTGTGCTCCCACACTCACTATCTCTAGCACAAAACAAATTATGAAAAAGTAATGAAAAACGCATTTCAAAAATTTCTGAAAGTAATCTAGTTAACCGTGATTCGAAAAAAATAGTCGTGAGTCGTGAAATCGCCAAATTTTTAGCCGTGAGTCGTGATGCGTACCAYCCCATTGAGAYCCTCTTTTAAAACTCCCGCTCATTTAGTGCATCAAAGACCTTAATTGACCGGGAGCCGAGCGTCACGCTAAGTACATGTGACAAGAAACCAAAGGTGCTCGAAATAGAACGTTATAATATGAATCGACATCTTTTTTAGATTGCTAATAAAGTTATAAAACATTTTAAAACTCTCGCTCATTTAGCTAGTGCATCGAAGACCTTGATTGAGCGGGAGCCGAGAGTCACGCTAAGTGTGACATAAGAAACCAAAGGTGTTCGAAATATGAATCGACATCTTTTTTAGATTGCTAATAGACTTATAAAAGGTTTTTTTCTTACTTAGATAGTATTTTTGGGATTTGTTTTGTACATTTTAAAACTCCCTCTCATTTAGTGTATCAAAGATCTTAATGGAGTGGGAGCCGTGCCCGGAAAAGAACGTTATAATATGAATCGACATCTTTTTTTTAGATTGCTAATAAAGTTATAAAAGGTCTTTCCTTACTTAGATAATATTTTGGGTATTTTTCTTGTACGTTTGAAAACTCCCGCTCATTTAGTGCATCGAAGACCTTAATAGTCAACTTTAGATATTTTGGTTCAGTGACCATGCACAAAAGAATTGCAGACGAGGCTCCGGGGAAATAAAAGAATAAATCAAGATTATCCATTGTTTCCCCGGAGCCTCGCGTGCGTTCTTTTGTACATGGTCATCGAACCAAAATATCTAAAGTTGACTATTGAGTGGGAGCCGTGCGTCACGCTAAGTGTGACAAGAAACCAAAGGTGCTCGAAATAGAACGTTATAATATGAATCGACATCTTTTTTAGATTGATTGACTGCGTGACTTATTCGTACGTAATACAAAACAGGTAGTAAAAGCGCACCAGAGTGACCGAATATCYACCGAGCAGTAGAAGACCAGTCAATTTCGCGCGCAAACGACGAAGCTCTCATGTGCTGAAGTCAATATAATCAAATCTKTGTTGAAGAAAAACAAAGGTTTAAGTTAYTTGCATTTAAGACGGGGTATATATATTTAGATTCGGCGTCTGAGTTTAATATTCTGTCTATKTGTGCTTTAGTATAACAGTTACGTTTGCATAATCTACAATAGATCAGATGCCTGTCTGCTGTATATGCACAAATATTTATAATTGTAATTCATCTAGAATTTTAATTGTTGCATCATATTACTTGTCAATCAATATACTGTATATATAAATCATTGTAACGAACTTTGTACTCATTAATTCTTCTGAAAWATGGCKTAATGTATTTTGAAATGCATGTYAAGAATATATTAAATCTAAAAAAAWKCACTGGTATACTTGAAAAGTCGTGTATATYTATATAACAGAATTCCACTTTGCAGCATTTATATTATTATCTGCGTCGTTGAACGCGCCGAAAAAGGATCTAACGTTTGCGCAACAATTCAGAGATCACTCCATTGGAAAACTACGGGACGTTTTCGCCAACGTGATATCAAATATTTAGACTGGGCACTAGTGCTTATTCCCCTTTATTTACTCATAGCCCAACAGGTTGTACACATGAAGAATTTGTGACTCTTTGATCATCTTGTACAACATTGACGACAAAACAACTCAAAAATGGCCAAGCTTAAGGCAGCATCTCAGTGTAACTGTTCGTGTGATAGCTGCTGCTGTAAGATGCCTGTAAATGTAATAGGGACTGCAAATGGAAGTGTGCAAGCTAATGGTGACACAGATCGACGCCCATTTCAAATCGCATGCGAGTGGGATCGCAAYAAAACACAACAATTTTCAGACGACGGCACTAATACATTCTTTTGGTGAGAATGATGATATATYTCATATCAGAAAATTTATAGCATAATTTTTAGCATCAGAAAATTCAGCCATACATTTTGAGTACATATCACCTTAGTAATTGACCCATTATCACTCGTAGACAGTTGATAAGTTTCTGAAAATCGTCTGGTAACAACTAGGTAGCGAATATTTTTGTTATTTTAGCGATATTGTATATATAACTAGCGGTGAATTTTATGATAATGATTTGTAAGGAATTTGGCTGTAAAATGACATCGATATATCGTTTTAGTTTGTTTATAATTCAAGAGTATCTAAAAGATACAGTGTCTAGAAAATATTTCATATGTCATGTCCCACACTCAACTATATACGTTTTACTAACTAACTCCTTTTCTGCAAAGTGATTTATTTTTTGTAAATTTTCGCGCCCTCTTTAGTCGCTTCACTGAAGAAGACMAAATGCAAATTTACAGCTGTAAACTTGATGTTTTTACACGTCATGTTGCGATGTTATGAAATCATGAAGTTTCCGAGGTAAAAACTACTTTGTTTGGCTTAGAAAAGCAGGAATTTCAGTTGTTTTTGTTGCAATTTAACGGGTACCGACTTTGGACTGTCAGAAACATTTTAAAACTGATTACGATCGATGTTGAATATACACAAACTATAAAAGTGGTTTAATTACTGCAGTTATTTCTTGTGCATGAAAAATGCCAAATGGTCAAGTACTTTTCCTAGGATGAGTAAAAATACTTGAAAATTAATATTCAACTTTTGCGTGACTTAGGAATGATTCGCTCCAAAGTTTCTTCAGCTAAAMAATTTACATACAGTTTCGCTTCAATTAACATTTTAAATGGTTGTTTGTAAGGTTTAAGTCGCTAATTGCAACGGATCGTATGTTTATTAGAAATTTTGCATTTTATAGTGAGGTCAAAGGTTCTTTTCAGTATTTGCACATTGCACTCTTTTTATATATTGATTTAATATAAAATTTTAAACTTTAGCTAAAGTATCATGTATTCATATATTATTAATAGTATTTTCTCTCCATTGCATGCAACATTCATCCATTTAATCACTTCCATCCATTCACATTTAATTTTTTTTTTATTTTTTTTGACAATTCTACTTTCAATTTGYCTCTTTACCTCATTACCTTGCCTTGTGCATGCATTGTATTGAAATGTAGGCATTCATAAATTTGAAATCTTATTTGTATGATATATGTTGATTTAATATTGCATTTGTATATTTTATTTATATCTTTCATTAACAGGCAAGCCCATACGATTACTGTTCTTATTGGCATGTTGTGTGTATTAGTGTATGTTGCACTGTTTGAAGAAACTCCATATGACACACACTACAACACAAAAAGGTAAGAAAACCATTTAATTGCTCTGGTAGGAAAGCCATTCAAGTGCTAAACAGGAAGAAGCCATTTAACAGCTGCCTGGGAAGCCCTTTAAATATGTGCAAAAAGGCTGATATATTTGTAAGGAAGCCATTTTAGTGTCARYAAGAAAATKAATTCAGTGTAAATATTTTGAAAAAGCCATTTAAATGCTGCCTTGAATTGATCAGATGGAARCCATTGTGGTGYTGAAAATAGCAGTTAMTKTTGCTTGCATTAATTTGTAAAAAWGATRTGTGTTCATCCTCATACAAGTGAAACAAAATATTCTTTAGTGGTTTACATTTCATTTTTATGGAAACAAAAGAAATATACAATGAAACCATTGATTTCTATTTTTAGTGAACACATTAATTTTTCAGTAATATAAACCATCTCTTTCGTAGAAACAACATTGCATGTCATGATAATTAGTTAAAACCATTATTACTAAGAAAACCTTTCATGTGCAGGCATTTATTAACAGCTAATAGCTCACATAACAGCATTTTCCTTACTTACATCGTGGTAATGCTATTAATGTTGTTTTTTTTGCAGGGGTTTGTTCGCATGTGTCATGGTTTTCTTGTTGTTTGGTGTGACCCAAATAAGAGACAGTTCTTTTAAAAGACCACATCCTGGTATGATTGATAGTCATCATCAGCACTTCTCATCATCATCATTATACTCATCATTATCATCATCATTAGATAGAGTGTGTAGAACAGACTTTAATACTATAAAAGCCTTAATATCATCATTACCATTATCATCATTATTATACTATTCAGCCTTTGTATAACGTGTCCCTAATTATCTTATTTTCACAGCTTTTTGGCGTCTTATGATTTGTCTCAGCGTTGTTTATGAGTTGGTTTTGATATACATCTTATTCCAGGTAAAGGACATGAATTCTACCAATGGGTTATTTTACTATCGATTAGTTTATTTGTTCAGTATGTGATGAAGTAATGTGTTCCTTGGTACGGATGGGTTCACCCAGTTAAATGACCTCTCGCCAACATAGTTGGCTTCATAGCTCAGTTTGTAGAGCACTGTACCGGCATCGCAGAGGTCATGGGTTCCATTCCCGTCGAGACCTGAAATATTTTTGGGTGATCCATACATTTATTAATAAAATGCTTAGATTATTATTTACATTGCAACGATCATATTCATTGCACATTTATTCAGTATTAATCTCATGTTGTTCTATTTTCTTATTTACAGAATCTAGATGATGCAAGACAGCTATTAAAGCACATTGATAAGAAACTTGGAAAGCCTCTTCCTGAAACTCTTTATTGTCAAGATTGCAGCTTCTACACTCCAGGTCACCCTGAGGGGCCTTTCCACAATTTCTTAGTGAGTGTCCTAATGACAATTCAATGATAGCAGTAATGATGATTGATAGAAGAATGATGATTATCTTTTTTTTTTCTAGGAAAAGTGTGATTTCTTTGTGTTTTGCCATGTAGCTGGYTGGTGGGCAAAGGTAAATAGTGAATATATCTCTTTATTCCACTTTCATTCTTCCTTATTTCCTTCCATCCTGTCTTTTCTTCTTTTCAATTGCCCTTTCTACCCTACAATACACAGCCTATGTAGTCCCAGGCGTTCCTTGTTTCTGGCATTGTAATGACATCACAGAGTGACTCTACTCTGGATTGGGGAGTCCTGGGTCTAGGCTGTATAATACAGATAGGAAAAAAAAAATGTAATGAAAAACATTTTAGTGCTCAGGTCATCTCATCCTTTCAATACACAGGTATCCCATCATATTTTTTTACCTTGCTTTTTTTCTGTAGACATTAATGCTGAGAGACTGGTGGCTTTGTACAGTTATAAGTCTGATGTTTGAAGTCTTGGAGTATACATTAGAACATCAATTGCCAAACTTTTGTGAATGTTGGTGGGATCATGTAAGATATTCTTTGAAATGATGTTGATTTAAATGAGTGAAATAGGGCGACAATCAACTCTCTGGGTTATGAATGGATAAATGGAAAATTGAAATGAATAATTGAATGGATGAATGGATGAATCAAAAGGATGTATGGTATGGGCACCCCAGAGTGGGGGAAGACACCATTTTGAAAGCATTCATCTAATCCATCTGGCGCTTCTCGAAAGATGTCCCGTCCCAGTTTTGCCCCCAAATAAAAATGTTCGCAGTGCCTGTGGTATGGATGGATTGATGGAAAAGTGAATGAATGAGAAATTAAAATGGATAGTTAAATTGTTAAATGAGAAAATGAATAGATAAATGGAAAAATAATATAGGAAGGGGTCCATAAATGAATAAACATATCAATATAATAAAGTAACATGATTTTAATAATGAACTATATTTTTTGTTTTTAGTGGATTATGGATTTTGTTATATGTAATGGTCTTGGGACATATTTAGGGATGAAAACTTGYGATTATCTTGCTATCAAGGTATAATTTTGTTATTACTAATATTGTCATTGTTATTATAGTATGAAATAATCAACTGTTGTATTTAAATGCTTATTTGACATGTGGTTTGTTTGTTCTTTACAGCCCTTCCACTGGCGAGGGTTATACAATATCCCAACTTACAAGTAAGAATTTGGTTATTGTTTAATGTTATTTTCATTTTCAAATAACATTGTTATATACATGGCATGGGTGGCCTTGTGGTTAAACTGCTGGCGCTCTCACCGCTGTGGTCCGATTCCCGGGCACAGACCATATGTGAGTTTGACTTTTGTTTGATGTGTTGTTCTCTCCCTTGCCACAAGGGTTTTCTCAGGTTCCTCCGGTTTTCCTCCCTCAGTAAAAATCAACATGTGAGGAGTGCTGTGTGCTAAAATACTTAAGTAGAGGTTAAGTGAGTATGAGAGTAGGGTCCACATTTATTGGCTCCACAAAGGAGGACTTATTACCGTGACCAGGCTGAAAGCCTGCGTCACGGTTATAAAATGCAGTCGCTGTGTTTTTTTTTCCATGTCGCACCTGAACCAAGCCCCTCACGGTCAGATTCTGTCCACGGGGCTCCCAAGATAGCCGCTACCCAAAGTAAACATTTGATCACTTCATTCTTCGAGTTAGAATACTAAAGCCAATTTCCCGACGATKRCACAAAGCTAGGGAGCAATTTGYCTTGGTTTCTTGACGACAAGACATTCCACACGTGTCTAAAATCTCCATGTACGTGTCCGAACGAGTTCGAAGTCGTATTACATAATCACCGTCTTTCGAGAGCACGAGTCTGTACACATGGATATGTTTAAATTATATTACCGTTTAACAGGATACTAATAAGCAAAACGCTTTAGAAAATATTCGGATAATTAAAAATTAGAGTAAGATAAAAAAGAAGTTAGTAAAACACGTTTTAGTGTTCGTTCACGTGTTTACCTGACCGGGATTCCTCTGTTAACTTCCCCTACCCATCATGCACACCGAAAAACCACGAAGTTTTTCAACGCTGATTGTAGCCTTCGTCAGCCTTGGTGGGATTTTACCTTGCTTTAAATTGGCTTCAAATGGATAAGCATGATCAAACAACAGATACACAAATCAGGCAGGCCAGCAAAGTATCAATGGCCGCCACCCCTTCTGGTTGTGAGGGAGTATCAACGGGTACAAAAAACAACCTGGCCAGCAAACTATATCAGAAGTATAAGCTTAAACATATTATGACAATGACATTTCTCAGACAATATAGTCTTATTCAGGACTCAAAAAAGGTATTGTTTTTTGTGATCACCCTTATGGTTTTGATTCATATGCTTAATTTGTACAAGTTGCATGACCTTAACTCAAACAATGTTGAAGATAAAAAAAAAGCCAAAAAGTACTACAACATTGAATATCAATCGATGTTATTAAGGTTAATGGACTGCACTTTATATTCAATATGCTGTACACTGAATATAGACATTGAACTTTGTGTGTTTATGTTGTTGAATATTACTTATTTACAATTGTTTACCATAATATGTACCTTTCTAATTGGTGTTGTTTACTCATTAATTCATGTATACTGTGTCTTTGGTCTAAATATTGATTTTGATAGATGTTTTTCAGAGGCAGTTGAATCATGTATAGAAATCAATGAAAAAAAAACAATCTTATTGCCAATAAATGAATGTAGATCTCGGCATGCAAAGTTTATATATTGTAATAACCATCTGAAGTATAAATTACATACCATTCAAAGAGATCATGAACCAAGCAGACTACCTATAAGCAGGCTTACACGTGCATTCCATAAAAGTAGACGTGTCAGAAGGGCTTTAAGAAGAAAGATTGCAAGTATACCACAATCATCAAAGATTCATTATATCAAAAAATATGTTTTAGGTAAAAAACTACTTCTTGATGAAGATAACAGATGCTTATGTAAGCCTAAAAAACATTTAATGATCACTAATAATAAACATAAGATTTCAGATAACAGTGCACAAAAAGAAAGGGGAAAATCCTCATCTTTACCATATTGTAATTCCAATAATTTGTCAACTGGTGAATATAAAGGGTTGAATCATAGAAGATCATATTGCTATTATTGCCTTTGCAGGGATATAGAGAAAAATCCTGGTCCACTAACACCTGAAAACTTAAATATATCACCCACACACCATATCAAAGCTCTGATAAGTTATATCAAACCATTAATAATAACTCAAATCTATGACCTTATTCATTGTTTTATTAAATTAAACAGACAATATAAAATGTTCAATTTTTTACAGATACAATTGTTGTTATCTGGAGATATTGAATTAAACCCAGGACCTGTTACACAAAATGATGCTTTTCAGTTAATTTCTCCGATTCCTTCAATAATTTTAATGGCGTCTAGATTAGCTGATCTTGGTTTACAGTCAAGGGATGTTGGTGGTGCAGGTGATTGCTTCTTTAGATCTATATCACACCAGTTATATGGCAACTGCAATTATCATATGAGTATACGTGCTAGTGGAGTTCAGTATATGAGAGATCACCCTGAAAGATTTATTGAGAGCAATACTGAAAGTTCATGGTTGAGATATCTTACTAATATGTCACTTCAAGGTACATGGGCTGATGCACTTGTTATTCAAGCGGTTGCTGATGCACTTAATGTATCTATTCAGATAACAGAATCAAATCCAGGATTTGCACCACTTACTGTTGTTAATCCAATTGAAGTAAGAGATAACCCATCCACAATTAATATTGGTCATATTGATGAATGTCACTATGTATCAACTACTGCATTACAGTCATATACCATTCAGTCAAATTGCAATGAAATTTTGCCTTCAATAAACAAACAGTTTGTTATGTCCATATATGCAATATCTTTTTCTATAATCAAAACATGTAATTACTGGGATTATTCAACACTACAAGCTCTTTACGAACATGCAACATTGTTCTACAACAACTTGGCAACACAGAATATTACAGAAATGGCAAACATGATAAACATTTATGATGCAGCTATTGAAGTACAATACTTACAGAAGACTTATGGCACTTTTACAGATGCTTATGATGCTAATAAAGCAACACTAATTGATTGCATCAAGGAAAATACAAAACGCAAACCAACTGGATTTCTGTTTTGTTATAATAATAATTACTTAAGCATCATAGTACAAACCCATCAACAAAGCATAATTTATTATTTGTTAACCTTAACAAAAGGACAATTCTCTCTGTTTACGCCGGCATTTAATGATCTTGATTCACTTACAGAAAAAATATGTGACATTTACAGATTAGATGGCTATACTAATTATCAGAAGCAATATGTCAGTTATTTTTTACTTTGTTTAACTCATGTCTCAAATGAATCCAGGAAAAAGATTGTGAGAAAATTTAAATCAACTCAACAAAAAAAGCAGATAAATAAAAAATACAATGATTGCTATCTGCAAATGGAACCTGCTAAGAAAAAAGCAAAAATTGAAAATGTTATAAGACAACAAAGATACAACATAATGCATAGTGCTCAAAAGAGAGATCTCCTTAATAGATATGCACAAAAATACAAACAAATGGATGTTTCACAAAAGAAAGAAATGCTTAAAAAAAAAGCAAACAAATATGAAAAGATGGAAAATGAACAAAAAGAAAAAGACCTTGAAAACAAAAGAAAACAATCAGCTAAAGCCCATAAAAATAGAAATATCTCAAAATTTAATGTTGACTTTTGCATTTCACAGTTTCAAAACAAAATAAGGCAAGGTCCTTGTTATATATGCACTGTTTGTAACAGAATGCTATATAGAAAATCTGTATTAACCTTTAAAAAACAAAAATATGTAAAATATGTTCATGAACACATCTTTACAGACAAAGTTTCATTTGACAAAAACAAATATATTTGTAAAACTTGTCATTCAAAAGTAATTAAAGGAAAGATTCCTTGCCAAGCTGTATGTAATGACATGTATGTTGATAATATACCTACAGAACTATTTTGTTTAGAGAAACTTGAACAGATATTAATAGCCCAAAGAATTATTTTTGAGAAAATTGTTGTAATGCCAAAAGGCCAACAAAGAAAGATCAAGGGTGCTATATGTAATGTCCCTGTTGAATGTGATAAGACCTGTGCTATTCTTCCACGTCCACCTGAAAGATCTGGAATTATTTTGCTGAAACTGAAACGTAAATTACAATTTAGAGGACATGTGTACTTTCAAGCAGTGCGGCCTGAAATTCTACTTAATGCTCTTAACTGGCTAACAACAAACAATACATTGTATAATAATATCACAGTGGATGTTGAAAGAATTGACAAAGAACTTATATCTTTACAGAATAATGAACCAAATTCAACAGATATCCCTACAACCACCACAATCAACAATACTTCCCAACATGCACCAGAAAATGTACAAAATATACAAACAGATAATTCTGATGACAATGATAATGATGAAACCACCCAAACACACCTGTCATCAATTAAAAGTGATCGATCTTCAGATATTAATGAGGAAGAAGAGAGAGATGATCCATTAAATGAGTATAGAGCTCCAACTAATGAGACATGTATGCAGTCAGTTATTCCTGATTATCCTGTTACTATTGATCAAGAAAATGTTTCAGCAGGAAATGAAATATATAACATTGCACCAGGAGAAAAGAAACATCCTGTATCATTTATGATGGATAAACATTGYGAAGAATTAGCATTTCCAGTTTTGTTTCCTAGAGGTAGATTTGGATACACAACAGAAAGAAAGATTAAATTGACACCAACCAAATACTTTAATGCAAGACTACTTCACCATAGTGGCAGATTTGCAACAAACCCAGAATACTTATTCTTTGCACAGTTTATAATTGAACAGAAAAAGGTTTCTGATAGTATAAACATTGCTTTGAAAAAAGTCCATGGGCAATCTATTACTGTGTCACAATTAAAATCCAATGTGCAAACCTTACAGAACCTAATTTGTCAGGATCAAGCATATCTTTTCTTGCGGCAAATCCCAGGAACTCCTCCCTACTGGCAAAGATTTATGTATGAAGTTGTAGCTATGGTAAAACAACTTGGTATTCCTACATGGTTCATGACATTATCTTGTGCTGATTTAAGATGGCCAGAGTTATTTCAAATAATTGCAAGGACAAGGGGAATGAATATTACTGATGAGCAAGTTGAAGCAATGTCTTATAATGAGAAATGCTCAATGCTAAATTTGAATCCTGTTGTGGTTGCAAAACACTTCCAATACAGAGTTGAAACGTTTTTCACTGAAGTGTTACTAAGCAAAAGCAAACCTATTGGCAAAGTAGTATATTACGCCCTTCGCATAGAGTTTCARATGAGAGGATCTCCACACTTGCATGCATTAATATGGACTGAAGACTGTCCAAAACTAACACCCGAAACCAAGGAATCTTATATACAATTCATAGATAAACATGTACAGGCATTCTTACCCAATAAAGAAACAGATCCTCAGCTTCATGACTTGGTTAATTTCTACCAAAAGCATACTCATTCAAAGACCTGCCGAAAATATAAAAACATCCAGTGCAGGTTTAACTTTGGACAGTTTTTTACAAACAGAACAATTTTAGCAGAACCACTTCCTGATGATCTTGATGAGGAAAAAAAACAGTATGCACTATTAAAACAAAAAGAAATCCTCATGGCTGTTAAAGACAAAATTAATAAGGTGTTAAATCCTAGTAAACCTCAAGAATATGAACCAAACTTAACAGAGGCTGACATCTTTACATCCCTTGGTATTACAGAGGAACAATATTATGCAGCATTATCAATGTCACCTGATTCAGACTATGATCTTCATCTCAAAAGACCTTTAGACAGCTGTTTTATCAATAATTATTTTGTTGCTGGAATAAAGGGATTTTCTGCTAATGTTGATTTACAGCCAGTATTTAACCATTATAAATGTATAACATATGTATGCTCGTATTTTACCAAGGATGAAACTGAGTGTTCACAGGCTATCATGAATGCTGCAAAAGAAGCAAAGAATTCTAACATGAATGTCAAAGATGGTTTGAAAAAGATAGGAGCAGCTTTTCTTTCTACTCGAGAAGTTAGTTCACAAGAGAGTGTATATCGATGCATGCCTGAACTATGGCTTAGAAAAATATTTCCAGGAACTGTATTTGTAAGTACTGATCTACCAGACAAGAGAATACATGTCACAAAATCTAAGCAAGAATTAGAGGATCTTGATGAAGACAGTACTGATATATACAAGTCTAATATTATTGAGAGATATGGTATCAGACCAGATTCAATTCCTGCTGTTAACAACCTTTGCCTTGCTGAGTTTGTAGCTTACTACTATAAAGACTATCGAAAAGATTCCCACGAAACTAGTGATACACAACCAGACATTCTTACAGATGAAGCCATTGAAATGCAACATTCAGAATCTGATAGCACTTCCTCCCTTCCATCTACCATTAAGTTAATGAACACAAATGAAAAGATGAAATGCAGAAAAGTAAGAGCTGTAATTAGGTATCATACCCCAAATAAGACTAAAGAACCAGAAAGATACTTTCATCATTTGCTAATGTTATATTACCCATGGAGAGATGAATCTGAACTACTAGGTACAGATCAATCCTATGCTTCTAAATTTTATGAAGCTAATGTACAAGAAATTATAGAATTAAATCGATCAGTATTTGAACCAGATGCAGATGCTGTCACAGAAGCCCTTGAGTACCTTAGAAACAACCAAGGTAACATAGCTCATTCATTTGATCCTATCAATGACCAAGAAAATTCTGATCTGCAGACGACACAGATACCAGATGACACATTAGATGAGGAATCATTTACTGAACAACTGCCTTCAGACTTAGGGCCAATATCTGAGTCTAGCCAAACTAAATCTCAAGCAATAACTGCATATACCCAGCCTACTGAAATATCAGATGATACACTACGTCTTAACGTTAGATCATTGAATACTAAACAACGCTGTGCATATAACATTGCTCTTTCATGGTGTAGAACTACAATGAAAAATATGAATTGCTTACAAGAACAACAAGTTAAACCAATTGATCTCTTTATAACTGGTGGTGCTGGTGCAGGGAAAAGTCATTTAATCAAAGCAATATATCATACAGCAGTTAAAACCTTTAGATACCATACTGTGAATCCAGATAGACCTACTGTTGCTTTGATGGCACCAACAGGCGTTGCAGCTATCAATATTAATGGCACTACTATTCATACTGCACTGGCAATTCCTAAAGAAGCAGGGGATATGCTAAAACCTATGTCTGACCAAAAAAGAACACAATTAAGATTGACTTTATCTGAGCTAAAAATAATAATAATAGATGAAATATCTATGGTTGCAAATACTTCTCTTCTCAACATTCATCAAAGGTTAAAGGAAATCTTTAATACACCTAACTCCCAGTTATTTGCTGGTATCAGTTTTATAGCTGTAGGTGATTTATATCAATTGCCACCAATACGTAGAAGAGCTGTCTTTGAGGAATACAAAAATGATGCATTTAACTTATGTCACCCATGGAGTGTTTTTCAAATGATTGAGCTCACAGAGATAATGAGACAAAAGGATGATCAAGCATTCACTGAACTTTTAAACAGATTTCGAACAGGTTCACAAACTGAAGCAGATATCCAATGTATTCAATCCCGTTCAATCTCTCCTTCTGACAGTAACTATCCACATGATGCTCTACATATTTGGGCAGAAAATAAGCCTGTTGATGACTACAATACAAAAAGGTTAAGTCAAATACCAGCACAGGAATACATTCTTACTGCCATTGATCAATATCCACAGCATGTAAGTCAACAAGATATAAACAGGGTCTTATCAAGAAGCAGATCAGAGACCAATGGACTTGATTTCTATATATCCATTAAAGAAACTGCCAGAGTAATGTTGACAACAAATGTAGATATTGCTGACAGATTGATAAATGGTCAAATGGGAACTGTAATAAAGATCAGAATTGATCAAAAAACTCAGAAGCCCAATGGTGTTTATGTAAAGTTTGATGACAATCAAGCAGGAAAGAATGCAATGGCAAAGCATACAGATCCATTTGTTCATGAAAACCAGGTTGTTCCTATTGAACCAGTTCTAGCAAGAATAAAAGTTAGACCAGGCAAATCTTCATCGCCTGAAATACAGAGAACACAATTTCCATTAGCTCTGGCTTATGCTTGTACAGTTCATAAAGTACAAGGACTGACTTTACAAAATGTTGTAATTAGTTTTGATCTGATCAAACAAAGATCATTCAATTATGGTCAAATATATGTCGCATTAAGTCGTTCAACATCATTACAAGGAATTCATATTCTAGGGCAAATTGAAATGAAACACATTAAAGCAAATCTTAAAGTACACAAGGAATATGAAAGGTTAAGAAGTATTTCATCAATACCAAATAATATTCCATGCCTACATGAATCAGTTCAACAGAAACATGGTGATACCATTTCACTATTGAATATAAGATCTCTTAGAAAACATAGCATTGATATCAAGTATGATGCAAACATCCTCAATAGTGATATCTTAGCTCTTACAGAAACTCAACTCCTACCTAATGACACTGCGGATATAGATATAAGATCAAACTTAGAACCATTTACACTTTTTAGACAAGACCATCCATCAGACAAATTCTCAAGTCTAGCATTATGCATCAAAGATCATATGTATATTGAACAGTATCAATTCTTTGATTCAATTAATGCCATCAAAGTTCTCATTACAAACACAATAACACATCAAAGCCAATCGCTCCTACTGCTATACCGTAAGGAATCCTCAAATATACCTCTCTACATATCTAACATGCAAGAGATATTAAATATTGACAATATTGATATAGTGCTTGGTGACTTTAACATAAACTACTTAAATTCCCATGAATGTCAGCAACTCAAATCATTAATGACCTCTCTAGACTATAACCAAATTGTAGAAAAGCCAACATTTATTTCTGGCAGTTTATTAGATCAAATTTATCTTAGACGTTCACACTATAATGTTCTTCAAAATGATGTTTTTAGTGTATATTACTCTGATCATGATGCTGTGCAAACCCATATACAAAAAACAAACCTAGCTAGCTAGTACCTATTATAAATTATCATGTAAATACTTTTACATGATTGTATTCACTTTACACATGTCAATCAAATTAATATTGTTTGCCTTAAACAATATTAACTTGCTCTTCCAATGTTCTTCTAAATGAGAAACAACTGCTACTAGTAACAGCTAGAAACTGTATAGTCAAGAAAAATAACTTCCAATGATTCTTCTCCCCATCCCTGGGAAAACAGGGGTAATCTTCAAGCTATCAGTCCTTCCTGATACACAGAAGATTATCCACAGGTTCTCGCAATGCTCTCTGCAAGGCTTACATGTTATTTGCCTTGCATATAATAGTGATATCCATAAAAACAAAATGAAGACATCCATCTCAAGGTTAGTTTATATTTGACTTATAAACCTCCAATGACATTTGACATCAACTATAATATCACATTTCTCTCAACAAATCAACATTTACATCACAAAATAATATTATTATCAACAATTATCTATATACAATTTAATAGAAAACCTAAAATAATAATGTCTGCAGAACCAAAAATGATGGAATTTCCAAGAAACATAATATACATAAACAAATTTAATGTACCTTCAATATTATTATTTAATGCAAGACAAAAGAAATTTGGATGACATGTGAACTCAAATCCACTTTCATACAGTAATAAGTGTATCTGAAACAACAAGTACACATAATTCTCAATTCAGAACTCTTCACATTAAACACTCAGTGAGTAAAGTCTACCTATACTGGCACATTGGATCAAAATAACTTGATCAACAATAATATCATAGTTCTTCAGACAAGACAAGAAGCTCCAGCATAAAACCAACCCAAAGAACATACTACTTTCTATCAAGCCAACCAAGAAATAATACAGATTCACTAGATCAATTGATACAAAAACTGTTCAACATTGATACCTGAAACATGACACCCTGCATGCAAAGGACATTTACTCAAGAACTTATATTGCTAGATAAAGATGAAGTACAAGACATCTTCTCACTAAAATATCATGTTTAAATGAATGAACACTAACATCACCGATAAACATGGAAAATCCTACAATACAAATTTTGAATACTTTCCTTTGGTTACATGTCAGGTATATAACAGACACAACTGGCATCCAGAAATCAATAAGGAACTTATTACACTGGAAGATATCTGTTATAATTTCATGCTTCACATCTTAGCGGTATAAATTTGATGAAAAGACATCATGTCATCATGCATGGTCAATATTCTTTCAAGTTTGAACTTATAGCTTAATAAACTTATACCCTGGAATTCAACCTATAATAAATGAGCAACAGCAGAAATAATTAAAGAACAAAATCACATGTCATTATAAGTTATTATTATTATTACGGTATTTAAGCATTGAGGTGGATGTCTTCTCTGCTTTAAACAAAATGTTAACTGTAGAACTATAGAACTGATCAAACCATATTTGTATACCATTTTCATATTAAACCCGCATATATGTGCAATAAAATATATAAGCTTACATATTTATTATTAGTTAACTTAATAACGTTCATAAGTTATTTAAATCACAACTTAAGCTTAACTTAATTATAAGCTGCAGTTTCACACTATCACATTACTTACATTTCACTAGAGAACTCTCCAAGAGATTTACAGCGACTTAAATTAATACATGCATAAACAAATTTGATTGCACATTCTCCAAGCATATTTAAATGTATGTCAAGTGTTGAAGATCCAGCCAGAGGTCAGCCAGAGAAAATCTAGCCATACGTACGGGTACGTACAGTCATATAAATCCGCCATCTTGAAATTGACAATCTCCAGCGCACTGATTGGCTGATTAGAGACGCACTGTGATCTCGCGATATCACAAACATGCACATGCATAAAATCATGACTTTCTTTTCTTTTTTGGATTTTTCTTTTCTTATTTGATTTATAAGATAAAACATTTGATTTTTAAAAGCATATTTCCTTGTTTCCCAGAAGTAATAATATTTGTCCTATTAGCCTCGATATCAAAACCAACCAATCAAAAGTGTCATTCAAATGCGTATATAAAGCACGATCACACATGTTCGACCTTTTCCAGTTCAGCGAGCGTCGTCAAGAAGTCAAGAAGTCATGCAGTCGTCCAAACAAGTAAGCAATCCTCTTAATTCCTGGAGTATTTTCAATACAGTATTTCCATATGAAAAATACTTCACTTTATTCATGTTATTCATTTCATTCATATATCCAAATAAATTATTCATTGACATAATGATCCCGCTTCTACAACATCAACATGTGCGCTCATCATGAATTCCAAAATGACGAGCTCACGAGATTATAAGAGAGCATTCACAATCCTTCAACATCGAGCTACCAAAATACAAAAAATCATAATTGAGGGATATTAGCCAACATTGCATGTTTCCTCAAAACGACCATTAATAAAAAATCACATATATTTGATTTTTTTTTGCGAATACAATTGCCACAAATTCGCGAGGCCATAAAACTACCGTAGCCTTACTTAAAATTGTCTTTTTTTGCATACAATACCATCCAAAATTGAATTAATAGTTATGTTTTCTTAAACATCATTTGTTATGTTTATTATAGAGCATCAGATCATCCATCACTATACAAGAAATCCTGATGCAAAATGCTGATTTAAACAATCTGGCATCTCCAAGAAAAATGACACATACCCTGAAATGTGCAGTACTGACAAAAAGTGAACTACGGGATATTTCAAATGGCAAAATGTTCTCTATGACTGTGGCAGACTTCGACACAACATCTACAATCAAAGTTGTTTGCTTTGATGAAAACCTCTACGATAAATTTGATACAACTAGAACCTATGACATCAGAAACTTTCGTGTCAAAAAATCGTTGGGGAATTATCCTGAGCTTCAAATTACAGAAGAAACAAAGATCCAGACTTCCCTCTTCCAGTTTTCCGTTGAAAGGAAGTGGTTCACTGTAGGTCAGATAAACAGAAAAGAAACCCAGAACATCAGGTTTATGAATTTAAAAGCACAAATAATTCAAGTTGAAGACGTGGTCAAGGTTGGAAAACATCCAAATTTAGTAGACAAGAGAGAGGTTCAAATTGGTGATGACACAGGAAATATAGTCCTAGTTCTGTGGAGAGACAAAGCTGTATCATTCAACTTTCAACAAGGTCAAGTATTGAAGCTGGAAAATATGCTTACCTCACAATTTAGAGGTGTTACACAACTTAATGCAGGTCCAGAAACTCTGTTCACTGTAATTAATGAGGAAATTACTCCAGTCATTGCAAATGCAACCCCAGCAAAGCACTCATGTACCCAAACTATTAACACTAGAATCATTGGCCTTAAAGATTTCACATGTTCCATGAGGTGCATTAATTGTAAAGCACTTGTTCAAATGCAGCAAGAAACCACAAAAAATCCAACAGAAGAGGTTCTTCTGACTTGCGAATCATGCACAACTGACTTCCTGCCAACTAAACTCACTAATGATTGCAAAATACTTCTGAATGAAAATAAACAATGGTATTCTTGCAGTTCAGGGGTAAGGATACAATATGCTTTGATTCATAACCTCATTTCATTTGATCATCTTTCAATTACTTTACTTTAAGTGTCAACATTTCAAGAAACTATTGAATTTATGGCACAGTCAATATTTTACATTTTCATGCTAATGCTATTCTGTTTACATCCTACATCAATTTGATTACAGGTAATCCAACATTTATTTGAATGGTCTGAAGCCAAACTATCACCTACAAAAAGTGAAAAGCTCCAACTCCTCCGCAACAACTACACCATGAGACTAGATACTCAACGCAGAATTGTGGAACATGTTGTTGTTAACAAAAATGACCATGAAGRTGAAGATCATGAAGATGAAGATCAAACACAGGGGGCTAAAAAGGCAAGGCAATCTGACGATATGGATACAGATGAGTTACAAAAGAAAAATGTATAAGTAAAAAGGTTTTTGTATGAACATTCAAAAATTAATTGTAGTGATACAAGGCCTTGTGCTAGACTGATTTTCCATCATCTGTGAAAAAATGCGCAAAATAACAGTCAGTACTAGACTCTAAACTCATTGTTTTCATAGACAATGGAAAACCACTCTAAAATCACTAGATTAGTATCTCTTTGAGTTCTTTACGTTCGAGTTTTTATAACAATGTTATGTTTTTAACAAATGAATGGGGGAAGGGGAAGTTGGACTGGATGATAACCAAAAGAAAATTTGACCAAAGCTCATGCTCATGAAAAGTGCCCCCAAAAAACGCTTGTGCATGTGATGTGCAAAAAAAAAATTCTTGCACTGCCACAAATAGTTTTCCTCGTATCTGTTTTTAGTTTCCGGTCGCAACACTTTGCTCCCCCACAAGGGAGAGGAAGGGGAGGAGGGAAGCGTTGCAACCAGAAGCTAAAAACGGATGCGAGGGAGACTATGCCACAAAGGCAAAAAAACAAATTGAGTTCTACACCGCAAAAATTCCCCAACCTGCCTCTCAACTCTCAAAGATCTAATGGTCTGTCCCTTAGGAACACAGACATCATTGACAAGTTACAATTTATTAAGTTAGTTATTGTTCAACATTATGTTCATTGTTATGGAAAAATATGTTTCTACCTAAAATATTTTCAGTTTTATACAATGACTAAAGAAGTTTCCAGTTAAAAAAAATATTGTGAAATAAAATCCACATTGTCAAAATTTACTTTCATTCATTTTTGTTACATAATTAAATAATTCTGATCATTCTTTCTACAATACATGAAATGCCAAACATAATGAAATGGTTATGTCTTACAGCCAAAACGATTCATCGAACTTTTTTTTCTGTGACCGCCCCCGACAAATGGCAGATTGTCTCAACACCAGTTGATGTCTCCGACGACAATTTACCACAGGGAACCCGAGTGCATTAACTGATTAATTTGAGGATTGTTTCGTCTCAACTACCATGCCATCAACAGCATGTTTACGAGCCTACTTCCATCCGTGAAAAGATTAAACAAAACTTTACTTTTCAAAACTCAAGTAAACCCTGTACACAAATTGTCTTTTTTCAAACAAGCAATATCAAACCACCATACTGGTCACGGTCAACCCTGCTGTCAGGGTCTAGTTCAAAACAGGGATACAAAGCAGTCAAGTCATAATCCTTACAACTGTTGTGTTTATTGTGAAATGTCATTGTTATATCAATCAGGGGAAAGTTAAAGAGAGTCGCAGAGCAATTTACACCATACTCTTGGACACCCTACAACTGGGGGGCCACACTAAGTTTAAAACGTTGGTTGGCTGTTTGTGGTATAATCACTGTGGTAAGATGATGTTTTCATGTATTATATTTTTGCATTAATTCATTCATCCATACATCCTTCCATTCATTTATGTGTCCTTCTCTTGCTCCATGTCTTTGCAATCACATATTAACATTGTTATAATTATTTTTCTTATCATTATCATTATTAACATCATCATCATTGCTATTATCTCCATGATAAACATTATTATTATTTTTAAATATGGAGGCTAAACCAGGATTATTATGAATGAGTCTTGACAGGTTCTTTTTTACTGCGATTTTAAGCTTTCGATCTTTTAATCTAAGGTTTTTGTCAAGAATGAACAATAAGCATAAGCTGTTACAACGAAATGTATAGAAGATCATTTTATTGTCCAGGCAATTATTATTATTACTACTATTATAGCCTCCTCTGCATGCATCGCTAAGAATCATGGGCTTCCTGTCTTTTTGAGGAGTCAAAAGAGGGAGAATGGGGGCGAGAAAAGGGGTAGTCCCAACGGCCATGATGACCGTTACAAAGGAAGCCCAAAGGAGGAAAAAAGAGTTGCCTGTGGAGGCTACTACTATTATATTATCATCATCATTATACTGATTCTTATCTTTTTTTATTCACAGTTCCTTATAGCAGAACTTAACACATTCTACCTCAAGTTTATTTTGTGGCTTGAGCCTCCACATGCTCTTAACTGGATCCGTGCTGTAATGCTGTTGTTTAGTGGGTGCCTTGCAYTGAATGAGACTTACGAGTATATGAGTGACAAGTAAGATCAAGTGCAAACAATACAAATCAATTTCATTTTCATTGTTATTTTTTTATGATTGCTTTTTTTATATTTTATGTTACTTTATATGTAAAATGCTCATTTTTATTCTTATGACATCTGTCACGTGTCACACAATATTGTGTCATTTGTCACGTAATAATCATGTGTCACGCAATCTGAGCTGTTTGTTACATGTATTGTCATTGCTTTTTTCTCCAGAAACTGTAAGCGATTTGGCCAACAAGCATGGGTTGTATCAGCCATTATAGCTACAGAAGTGCTAATATGCTTCAAGTTTGGATCGGAAATTCTCTCTCTACCATTCCCAACCCACGTGGTTTACTTCTGGATAGCGTTTACCATTGGCTGGTTTTGCTGGACTGTCTGGCATTTCTGGCCAACAAAAGTACATCACGATTTAAAAGAGAYACCCAAACATATGAAAAATGGAAAAACTGATTAACGAAGTGCGCTCGCGCACAATTTTATAATTTTATTGCWCTCGTTTTTGTAGTGTTTTTGCATTGTTTTTCGCTCTCTTGAAGACGAAAAATAACAATAAGACGTTACGAAAACGGACCGGTGTGGACGAAAYCACCTTATAAACACTAAACAAAGAATGAGAGAGTGACTCGGGCGCGCTTTGAACTCCACATGTGTCGAGTTCAGTGCARTTCCATTYGTTTGTTCCTGCTCATCAACATCTCATTTCCATTGACTTCGACACGTGTGAAATTCGGCGTTTTTGACGGAACTAATTTGGGTGTTTGTCGTGTGGAGTGGTTCAACTTTATTGAATTTTTCCAGGGTCTTCTGGATACTAGTCTAGTTAAAACGACTGTAAAATCTATAAGGCTGCATTTTTCATGTGTGCCCTTAGGTACCGTAGTAGCATTTACTCGAAAACATCCGAGTTAGCGCTATTTGTTAGTGGCACTGTATCTCATGTATAGGGGCGTTAAAAAGACTATAAATGACGAAGAATGTGCGTAAAAAACTACTAAAGMTATTGGCACCATTTTCAATGCGTAAATTTAAAAATGTTTGAAAGCAYTTTTCGTTATAGTCTTGTATTTATGCATTATGATGAAAAGCATTTTATTGCTTTAAATTATTATCTATTTAGCTTAGAAACCGAATTATTTTTGTATGCATCTTTCAGTTTTTGACACTGAATGAATGCTGATTATATTGTAAGAAAATGAAAATTTCAGTGGAAGTTTCCGGTTTATTTAAGGGGGTTCAGCAAAATCTATTATGTACGTCGCTATCTTGAATTTTTTCGCCATTTTATTTTTGTTYTATTAGCGGGTAATCGTAAAAAGCAAACAAAACTAGCTAAAAATTCAAGATTACGGGTGTATATCATAAAAAGAGGGGTAAAAATTACGTGTTGCTAGTAGCTCCCTTCGTTTCAGTATATTGCACAGAAAAAAGGAACATTTTTCGTAAGGACCCGTAAGCAGTTTACATGAAATAGATTGAGGAAACTTGCTACGCGACGGAGCAATTGATTTTTACAGGAAAACGAGGCGCCCCTTCAACCCTCAGGGAGGACTGCGGGAATTTAATTAAAACACTTGATAGTCGGGGGAATTATAACGTCTAAATCAAAGAATATATTCATTTCAGCCACCCATGTTGTCTCCAACAGCAGCAGGAAAAAGCCGGACTCCCCCGGCATTTCTCTAGTGTTGGGCATCCGTGGTTTCAATTGCTTTAGTGTAAATTATAGATGARAGCCGCCGCTTTTGTACAAGTAAGGATAGTCAAGTATATCGTAATGATAAATCAATATTTTTTAAAACGAATTTTGCAATTTTCATCTCGCGCGCACGTGTTGAAATAAATATTTAGTGTGGCACCATAGAAAATATAATTTTTATGATATGTTCTCTTGTAGAAATTAGTGTGAACATATGAACSTTAGTTTTCTAAGATAAAATAAACATTGCGTAAATGAGAATTTTGTAGATTTTTTTGTTTTTTATCGAGATAGGAATGAAAGGACCAGTGTGCTCATCATGTAATCATCATGCCAGTACGTTGTGAGCACCATGTGAGGTGCAGGTACAGTACTAAAGCGAGGGCCGGAAACAGGGATTTGGGAGTGGGTACTATTGATACGGACGTCCCTCCATACAAAAAGAACAATGAAATATGCTTTACCTTGTTGGAATTTGATAAGCAATATAAAATATTCGCCTTTAGATATTCCGACTTTTAGAAGTTTTAAATGCCCATAAAGGTCTCCCACTCATATTTCATATATTACTTAAAGTTTTAATTAATTTTAGACGTTGMCCCTCTCTTCTTTARGCACATAAAATTAGATTTTGCCTCCCCTTTCTGGATCACTCAACCYCCCTCCTGATAAATATTGCGCAATCCCTTATGACCTGCGCTCGAAAGAAATGCTCTGGCCAATTTTCCGTTGATACTGAATAAATAATTAAGCGGTACGTAGTTTTCATTAACATAGTTTTTTATCATCAGTTCTTAAATCATTTGCTTCTCATTAATTATGAACTAATAACAAAATCTTATCGATGACAAGTGGGAAAATATGATTTCATGGAGCCAAAAAAACTGCATGGTTCAGATCGTTSTTAGTGTTGTTCACACGAAGCGCTTTTATCATTTTTCAGTGCGATTTCAGGGGTTTGTGAATAAAACTTGAAAAAAAGGACTCTTGATTGTAGTTATCAAATACCSTGTTCTGATTGGTTAATATAGTAAAAACAAAACGCCATGTTTGGACAATAAGAATAAAGCAATCAAACCATGCCACTTTATTCCGCTTGTTTGAATTTACACAGTGAGGCTCGCAATAACTCAATTCTGATTGGTTTTCAAACAATAGAACGATTTTGCATCTGATTGGCTGGTTTTAAGTAAGTGACAAATKTTCTCACTTCTGATTGGCTAGTTTTAAATTATGTTTGCATAGTATTTTACACATGTTGGTTTTCTGAAGTCGACTGAGTCGATTGCTTTGAGAAAAAACAAACTCTTAGAAGTCACTTTTGTTTTGATATTTATACAACGCGAAGTATCTYTAAAAATTATTTTCCTCTACGCGATTTTGGTAATGAGCGAAAATTTCTCAAAAAGTACTGCATTGGTGTGACACGGAGGATTTGCCGATAAAATCGCGCTAAGTTATTTTGATTTAAGAGAATAAATTGAAAATAGTTCTTTCTAGTGCCTCTGGTATATAGACTATGGCGACGGAAGCTTCAAATCAGTTTCAAATAAATCAGGATTTTTTTTGAATAGTTTTGTTTTGTATTGATTTTTCGAATAATAATCATTTTGTACGTACACAAGGAATATATTTCTCATGGTTTTCGTGTTATTTCCATAAAGAATTTGAGCTTCTGTGTGATAGTAAAATTTTGCGGCTTCCGTCTAATTATAATTTCATAAAGCTGGAAATGAAAGAGACTTGTGATATGTATATATACTGAATCTATTTATGATTTGAAATCTTCAATTATTTTACAAAAATAATACTTTAGTTTATTTAGTAATAATATATTATGCMAAAAAATTGTGATTGTAAAAAAAGGATTAAACTTGCGTGCAAAGAAATAGTTTAAAATTGATTTAACGTGAAACGTCACATATTTCACTTTTTTATGTTAATTCAGCATGGATAATATTGTTTTAAATCTAAAATTAAATAAAATTATTTTTCAATTTCACTATGAAACCATCTCCAACTCTCATTAACGTTTCGTATTTCTTCTTCATTACATATGAAAATAATTCTGCTTTCAGTAAAAAATGAACTTATTAGAAAAAGAAAATGTATGTGTGGCTTTTTGCGCAAGCGATCGATTGTTGCTGTCAACCCTCGTTGTAATAATGTATAAACTATTTAAAAACGCAACCGTTTTGGTATATTTGATTTCTGTTGTACAGAAAATGTCTTTACCATAGATTCGTCGATATAGCTGACTTTGGATTAATTTGATAATCTCTTTGTACTATATATCTATTCACATGTAACGCAACTAAGCTCTCTCCATTTTCCATGYAAACACAGGCTTTGTGCTAAGCGCGCCATGCGTTCGTCGTCTGTTTTCCTATTTGCTAAATATTTTCAAAAAATTTACACATCTAAATACTCTCTATAATCTGTCGCAGCATTAAACACTGAAAGCTGTTACTATTTTCTCTTATTTTTCAATATAAAAATAATTTCCGCGTATTTTTTTGTGTATTTCAATATTTTGTTTTCATTTAGGAATAGCTTCGCTGACTTCGTCCTCTTCAATTATGGCAGATAGTTCGACAAYGCTACAAGGACTTGTCAAAGGTGGCTTTTTGTGTCTAGGATCCAAAAGCCTGTTTTTTCCATTGCCTCGCTCTTCATCAGAAARATCCCTCTTAATCGAGGTCGAAATCCCAACCTGTAAAGTGTTTGTATTTGTCCTAGCACGTTCCAATGCTTGGTGGTGTGCTTCCTTAGCAGCCAACGAGGGCCTTGAGCTTTTCTGTTGTCGCAGACATAAATAGAATGCTCCAGCGAATACAACTAAACCAACAGTCGCTACAGTAACAAGAACTGGAGTATTCAAAGGCTGTGTGCCAGTTCTTTCCACTACCTGACAAACACCATTTGTGCACGTCTCATTTTTCTGGCATTGTGAATTGTAATGGCAGAGAATGCGAGTATTCGCTTCCTCGTCGAGACACGGCGAACTTGCGCAGGTACACTTTTGATCAACACAAAGCTCCCCGTAAATGTTATCACAATCAGAATCGAACATACATAAACCATCGCAGGATTTTCTTTTCAAACAAACGCGGTCACAACATTGTTTTCCTTGTTCGCAATCGCTGGAATCGATGCAGAACTTCGACGCTGGTTCAACAGAGGAACTCAGAAAGAGCAAAGCTACCAGTAGCATGAACACGTATTTAGCCATGGTAGTGAAAGCGCGTGTGCTCCATTTCCATGTCTTTGAATGTATGATAAACATTGCGCTCATTTGTCTAAAGTACAGGTGATTCTACAGAATAGACGCGTCACACACCGCTAGCCATTTCACTATGTGATAAGCGATGTGTAAATACAAGATAAGTGTTTTTTACCTTCTTGAATCGAATCCATTCCTTACTACATCATTGCCTTATCACATGGAACCACTCTCACCTAAAAAGGACTTTCTTACTCTCTCATATTGTGGTTTTACCGCCTTATAAAATATGTATATACTTTATGATATATGTAAATGAGTCACGCGAAGGGTTATCACGTGATTCATATCTTTATTAAGCCAAATTGAGTGTGCATGAAACGTGATGAGAATCACTRCTGGTATCCAATAAACATATCGAATATGAGGGTATATCTCAATGAAAATGACCCCMAAAAGAGTCTTATTTATATTTCCTTAAGTTCATCTCTTCAATTGAYGCATTCATTTGTGCAAGTACCTACATTAATAGTGGGCCAATATCAGACATATACTAAAAACACTTCAAGGGTATTGAAATACTAAATATAACTCATGCTATCTTTGCTCTTGTGGGTCAAAAACAGGTTTAGATTTCGTTGGCTGATTGGCTGATCAGATCGGGCTACTTTGCTCCACTTGATAAGACAACAAGAATTATTAACCTATGTGTAAGTGCACCTTTTGATTTTSAGAGATAAATTGGTTATGATATTAGATAGCACGAATAGAGGAAATCACGTCCCTTCTTTTTTCATGTTGGGGTGGGGTAGGGACAATGTAGTACTATCATTCATGTATAGCATTTTCTTGAAAAAGTGTTCTTTATAAAATGTTTGAAAAACGTCTGCATTGCATTGTGGTGACGCTATCTAGAGCCGAGAGTTAATTTCATTATCATGTTTTACGACGAAAGAGAAATTTTGAATGCTATGAAAACGCGAGAGATAGTAGAAGCTGTATGACTTCTCATTGTCTCACTGTGGTTTCCGGCATATTACACTACTTTTTCGACATTCAACATTTCAACAATCGGTGTTGGCGCCTGTGTTAAAGATGAAGTATATGTTCTCTTAAAGAACTTATATCTTTAAAAATYAAAGGCACCCTGGACCAATACAATGTTGGTAGTCATCAATGTAAGAGATGCAGGCGATCACCTTACAAAAAACAACACTGAATCGGGGAGAAGGCCGGGGAGGCTAGAGAAGTGAGAGAAGAAAGTGCCTTGATCGATCATACAATTTCGGTTCATTTGTAACAACAGCTTTGTAACGTTTGCAGTTCATACTGCGCAATGGGGACTAGTCTGCTGTACCGTTTTGGACATCGGGTAAAGGGGGCAACATGTCTGGTAGTGTCTCTGGGAGTGAAAGTGGAGCTCTCCAAGATCCAAAGACGTCCACATCGGAAGTAATGTGTAGAAGCCTCAACCAAGTCCAACGGCACGATGTCAACTAGCACGCGGGAATCTACTGCGTRCTACCATAATGTGTGTTGCCGCACATCTTTCACTTCCTGTTTAAGGCCAGGGAACTGATCAGTGTGGCAGAGACACGGCACTACCTAGAATGTTCTCCTAAAGGCATCTTGTTTTTGAATTAAAGAAATTCAGTTGAAACGCAAGGTAAAACGCAACTGATCTATAGTCATATCATCAAATGGACCGCCATGTCCAGTAAGAACATGATTGTTCGCACGAACCTACGACAAGCRGAATCTCCAAGCACTTGTCAGCGCGTCAAGAACAGGCCACTATGACTACCCGTATGAGTCCGTTTCAAGACCAAAAGTCATATTCGACTAAGAATCGGTGAAAGAAAAGCGTAGGTCTAAATTTGAAAGAAACGTGGTTTTACTGAAAAGTACGCACATAAATTATAAATGCAATTTTATTTCAAGGTCCAGCTATGAGGTTAAACAACTCCAATAAACATAGATATTGCTTTGTCTTTAATACAATACTCACAACGGCTTCTCCTTATAAGTAAATGGCGGG